CCCCCCAGTGTGCTTGGCTGTCTTGCCCTCCTCCCCCACTCTCCCTCTTGCCTGTCCCTTTTTCGAAGGCCCGCACTTGCTCTGCCCCTCCCCTCCGTCTGCCATGTCTGGTGACGCCGTTCAGACCGCCACCCCGGCCGAGGTTGCCGTCGAGGCCACCCCCGTCGCCGTTGTCGAGTCCACCCCTGCTGCCGAGACCGCCCCGGCTGCCGCCACTGCCGAGACCGAGGCCCCTGCCGCCGCCGCCGCCGCCGCCCAGCGTGCGTATGCCATCTGACTGGCTGCCCCTTCTGCTTTCGCCGGCATTACCGCCCCACATATCGCCATCACCACCGGCATGTCCCTGTCCTCCCCTCCCCCGGCTGCCGGGCTTCTCACAGCTCCATCTCCCCCCTCTCTTCCGCGATCGCCTGTGCGATTGGACAGCCGAGTCCCAGGTCACCATGTGCGCATCCCTCCGCCCGCTCCCCCGAATTGGCCCGTGACTTTGCTCGGTCCAGGAACTGACCATTTGCTTCCCTCGCCTCTCCTTCAGGGACTACACCACCGTCAACCAGCTCCTCGAGCTGCGCAGCACTTTCACCGCCCTGCCGGCGGCTTTCGAGAACTTCCCGATGAAGATCCGCCGCGATACTCCGATTGTCCAGCGCGACACCAGCGGCCCGGCTCCCCTCCGGTATGCCTACGCCTGCCCCCTGTCTTTTGCCCTCCACCGGCCTGTTGCTCACCATCCTGCCGCGCCCCACGCACAGTCGTTCGCAGCCGCGCAAGCCCTCCGGCCCCGGCCAGCCCTCGGTTCTGGGCACTCGCCAGCGCAACGACCCGATCCGCCCCTTCCGTAACCTGCTCAACAAGCTGGCTCCGGACAACTTCGAGATCCTGTTCCTGGAGGTTCGAACGCATTTCCCCTCCGCCCCTCCCCCCCCCCTCCCCTCCTCTGGGCCTGCCTATTTGCCATCTCGTCATCCTGCTCCCTGGCCCCCGACTCACGCGCCCTTCATTGCCCTCCCCCTCCCTGCTCCGTCGACAGTTCGAGAACTCCATCCTCCCCCTGATCCAGAACGCCATCGTCCTCAACCAGGTGGTCGAGGTCATGGCCGAGAAGATCCGCGATGAGCCCCTCTACTCGGACCTCTACGCCACCTTCTGCGTCCGCCTGCACAAGATCGAGACGATGATCTATGGCCCGCCGCGTGACGACCTGATCAAGGTACGCCCCCTGCACTCATGTTCCCTCTGCCGCCCCCCCCCGCCCCTTGCCGCCGTCACCGCTGCCGCACGCCACCACTAGCAGGTGCACACCGCACAGACACTGATGTCCATACATGCACGCACGCACGCACGCACGCACACAGTTCATCAGCAGCCCCGACTTCACCCCGGATCTCACGGAGAAGCGCCCCTTCGGTGTCATCTTCCGCACCCTGCTGCTGAACTTCTGCCGCCAGTCCTTCTACCAGATCTCCGACTCGCCGAAGGAGCAGCTCACCGACGAGGACCGCGCCAAGATGACCAGCATTGAGATCGACGAGTTCGAGCTGGCCTACTTCCGCGAGAAGCGCCACAACGCCGGCCTCATCATGTTCATCGGCTCGGCCTTCGTGCATCGGCTTCTGCACTCCGGCATTCTCAAGGAGTGCATCCTCTACCTGACCCGGGCGTATGACAACTCGGTGCCCGCCGACGAGCGTGACATCGACTGCCTGCTGAACCTGCTGAAGATCATCGGCCCGGCCGTGCAGGAGATGTCCGACATCAGCAAGAAGGAGCCCGACAACACCTACCAGCAGCTGCTCAATGTCACCAGTGAGCGCGTGCGCCGCCTGTCCCAGATCCCGGGGCTGCCCAACCGCCCGCGCTTCATCCTGATGGACATCCTGGACATGATTTCTTCGCAGTTCGTCAATGTCGTGCGCGTCGGGCCGCGCCGGTCCGATGAGCCGGCTCGCGAGACCCCGGCGGCCGGGACCAGCGGCGATGGCCGCTCCCGCCGCGGTGGGGCCTCCGGCCCCGGCGGCAGCGAGGAGAACCGTCGCGCCCCGAAGAGCAGCCTGCGCATCGGCGGCTCCCAGAAGATCGTCCCCATCAGCAGCGACTTCTTCTCGGACCTTAGCCGGAGCAGCCGCTCCAGCCGCTCGTCGGCCAGCACCGCGGCCGCGGCCCAATCCGCCACCACCACCCGCGCCGCCCTGTCCAACGACAATGCCTTTGCCCTGCTGCAGGTGAGTATCCCTGTTCCTTGTGTTGGGGTTGATCCTCGTGTGTGTGTGCCCCGCCCTCTCCCGTCGCCCGCCGTTTGTCTAACCGCGCGTCTTGCCTCGCATCATCCCCAGGCCGACTCTGCCTCGACCGCCGCTCCGGCTGCCTCGGCCGCCCCGGCCAAGCCCGCCGTCGAGTACCCGGCTGCCTCGCAGGTCTCCCAGGCCCTGGCCTCCTTCAAGTCTTCCTACTCGCCGGAGGATGTGGAGGATGTCATTGCCCTGTTCAAGGAGGCCGACCCGACCGAGGAGGCTGCCATCGCCGCGGCCTTTGCCTTCATTTCCTGGTACCTGGACCTGCCGAGCTCCTTCTACTCCAAGGCCGAGGAGGTCATGCAGGTTGTCTTTGCCGGTCTGCCCGCCGGGGCCATCGTGGCCGCCTTCGGCCGCCTGTGCGAGGACATTGAGGACATCCTTGTGGATTGCCCCCGTGCCTTCGAGATTGCGGCCTCGCTGCTGGTCAAGCTGGCCAAGTTTGTCGATGGTGGCATGGATGCCGTCAACGCCATGCTCCCCGCGGCCTCCACCAAGGTCGACATCACCACCATCAACGACGGTGCCCTCGTCAAGGCCATCGCCGGGGAGGTGGCCAAGGCCAACTAAAGGGGTCTCATATATCACATATGGCCCGGTGTGCGTGTGTGTGCGCGTGTGTGCGTATGGGGCGGGGATGTGGCAACACACCCCGGAGTGGTACATCCTCTTCTCCTGTGGATTTCCTCCCCCCTACCGCGCGGATGTGCCCAGGCCGCCTCCCTTTTGCGTGGGCCCCTTCTGCTGCCACGCAGCCAGGGTCCCGGCGAAGAGTCGTAGAAAAATACATGCTTCCTCCTGTTTGCAGCCGGCCGGCGTGGCGTATTCTCTTGGTGATCGAGGGGGTGGTGGGGGTTGGGATGGCGTTTCCTCTGCCACAAATGTGAATGTATTTGTTTTTGGGAGTCCCCCCTCGGTGCCGATGGGGCGTTTCTCGTGGGCCAAGGGAAAATGATCTCCCCCGCCCCCCTGGGGAGGGGAATGCCGGGCCGAGGGCAAGTGCACGAATGCGCGCGTCATCCCCGTCTCCGCGGCAGGGGAAGCTGCCGGCGATCATCGGGGCCCAGCCAAACGCGCTTGGAGCTCCCGCCGGGGGCCAAGTCGACCCCGACCCCGGGCGAGAGAATGACAGGTGGCAGGGGAGGGGAGATGGGCGTGCCCGGGACCGCGGCGGTGATCGAATTCAGGATGGCCGGCGACAGCGGGGAGAGCGGCGGCCGCGGGGTCGCCGGGAGGGGGGCCGCTTGCTGGCGTGCCGCCGCCGGTGGCGTCGATGGCCCGCTGCCGGATGTGGCCGGCGAATCGCCCGCCTGACTCAGAGAGATGGGCAGCGCCGCGGCCGTGGAGGCCGGGGAGGCGCGTGGAGCGCTGAGGGCCGAAATCCAAGCCCGACAGTCTTCATCGGACATGGATGACCTGGAGGCCGAAGGGATTGGCGCTGGCGCTGGCGCTGGCGCTGACATGTCCGCTGGCTCATCATCTATGCTGAAGAGGGCAGGTGCTTCGGGGGCCCGGTCTGCAGGGCTAGCCGAGGGCGATGGGGGCGGGCTGGTCGGAGCTTGGGGTGCCTGGGTGGAGGCCGGGGTGGCCATGGACGGGGCGACCGGTGGCGGTGTAACGACCGAGGGGGGCGGAGAAGCCGGGGTCGGGGGAGCGCCATGCGGGACGCCGGCCGTCGGGGGAGAGAACGACCAGCCGGTGGCCGCCAGGGAGGACAGTTGCGGGAGCAGGTAAGCCGCCGCCGGGGGGGCGGCGTTTAGCGGCAGGAACAGCGGCTGGAAGGGGTAGTGCAGGCCAGTCAGCGGAGTGGGCATGGATGGGGCCGGAGCCCCGGCACTTGAAGGGGCGTCCGCCCCACCAAGGAGAGCCGCCTGCAGGGCCGACGCCCCGGCCAGGAGATGCGCATGGGCAGGATCCGAGGTGGCGGCGGCCATTGCCGCCGGGGCCGAGGGGAAGGCATTCAGGAAGGGCGCATAGGGGAAGCCCAAATGCGGTGGCAAGGACAGCCCATAGTAGGCTAGGTAGGAGCTTAGCAGGGGGTGATGCAGGAGACAGGGCTGCCCGGCTTCACCGCCCGCTCCCGGCGCGGAGCGGCAGGTGCAGGACGCCTGCTGCGGCAGGCTCATCAACGCCGCGGCCAGGGGGTTCCAAAGACCGGCCGGCATGGGGGCAGGGGTGGACGCTGCCGCCGGCGAGGCAGTCGGCGGAGTGTCCGGGGGCGTGGCCGGGGAGGAGGTGTCTGGCGAAGCGGGCGCGAGGGGAGTTCCCTCGGGCGTGGAGGTGGCTGGCGGGGCGGTCACCTCGGCGGGGGCTGGCGTGGATGAGGCAGGGCGGGCGGGCGGGTGCTGGCTGGCGGAGTTGAGCAAAGCCTGCAGCAGGAGCGACGGCGGATTCCGGCGTTTGGAAGGAGTGGCATTGAGGGACTTGCGTGCGGCCCCGCGCGCAGGGGCACGGAGTCGATCTGCACCGAGGGAGGCAGGCGAGGGAGGCAGGCGAGGGAGGCAGGCGAGGGAGGCACATGGGGAGAGATGGGCAGGGGCCAAAGGAGGGTCAGTCACAGGCTGGGTATGGCAGGTGACCAGGCTGCCGGGGG